GAGTACATATTCTCTTTGAATAGTTTGTATCCGTCGAAAGGCCAAAAGCAAACAAGCAACAGATCCGCAATGCCAGCTTGGCCTCRCTGCTGGGGGCCACCCTGCTGGAAAGCAGCTCCGTGGTGAAGGACCTGGGGYTGCCCATGAGCCAGCAGGGTGCCCTYGTGGCCAAGAARGCCAACAGAATCTTGGGGTRCTGTAGGAAAACCATTGCCAGCAGGATGAGGGAGGTGACCCTGTCCCTCCACTCAGCCCTGGTGAGGCACATCTGGAGTGMTGTGTCCAGCTYTGGGCTCCTCAGGACAASAGAGACATGGAGCTGCTGGAGCAGGTCCAGCAGAGGGTGRCAAGGACACTTAAGGGACTGGAACATCTCTGAGTGGAGTCTCTCTCGTTGGAGGTATTCAAGAACAGCCTGCACATGATCCTGTGCCGTGTGCTGTAGCATGACCCTGCTGAGCAAGGAGGCTGGACAAGACAGCCCACTGTGATCCCTTCCAATTCTGYGATTCTGTGATKTTGATKATTTCTACAGGCTGCCAGTGAACCCTAGATGTCTTTTCCCTGCGCAGGATGAATTCACTACCTCAGGAAGCTGTTCTCACAGCCACATGAAGGGGCTTGAGCACCAGATGTGGAAGGGCTGCCCCTTCTCCCTCRGGTATGTCCAAATTGCAGCCCAAACTTGTTTCTTATGATGCTTTTCATACACATGATGATTCCAAAGACAAATGTAGTCTCGAGAATTTCCACATCCTCATGAGCCTCAGGAAGTTCCGTCCCTTAGAACTCAATCCATCTGTATTTTGGACAACCAGAAGTTTCCCATTGGCCACAGTCAGGACCAAACTGACTGATGCTTTCTGCCAAGACCGGCATGTCCTTTAACAGGGGTGGGTAACCTGGAAGTTTTCAATCATGGGAAACAACYGGAAGTTGTAATGCTGTGTGCTGTAAGTGTCCCCAGGAATTTACTTAGAAAAAGGAAGCTGAGGACACRAAAAAATTCCTTTGTTTTAGTTGTCAAGTACCACAACACATTAATTATGCCTTGCAATATTTAATCTCACTTTTTCCAGCAAAGTGCTTTTGTGAGTTTTTATTTTGTATATAATCTGTCTGCTGGCTTCTGCACTTTGTGTCTCACTAAATCTCCCTCCCTCCTATTAAAATGAATAAAAAATATATCCTGTTCTGATGTATTGACCCATCTCATGGTAGGGAACTTCTGTGACTTGGTATTGCACCCCACTTGGTATTGCACCCCACTTGTGGTGTTATCTCACTCTCAGGGAGGTGTAGTTCCTACCCACTCATCTTTCTTTGGGCTGTGGTATGCATGTTGAAGGACTTTATTAAAGAAAAAAAAAATAATAACATCCTACTCATCTGGGCAAACTACAGCTAGAAGCTAAAAAATCCTTTAAAAGAGTTTAAAAAAGGCTTACACTTTCTCAGATGCAGCTTCTTAGAAGATCCAATGCTATAGGGATCACAGTTTTCYATGGCCTACCCCTATCCTACATTAAGCAGACAAGCAAACAGAGAAAACACTTGCAGCTGCCTTGAGAACTGGGGTTGAAGAAGAAAGTAAAGATTTTCCACAGAAAATCTGGTAACAAATTGACAAAATATATTAAATATTAAAATATTCCATCCCTCTGTGAAAACAGAAGTGGTAGTATAAAACTAACATGTTGGGGGGCTTTATGTTGTTATTTTCCTCTTTAGGCAGAGTTCTCTGGTTAAAACACATTTTCCAGGGCACAACACAGCCTCCTTGCCTGTAGAGGAGATCTGGATCATTACACGAGCCAGAGGTCAGGAGTGTGCCTGTTCATCAGTAAAATTTGAACACAAACTTTCAAGTATACTTCTGACCCAAAACTAATTCATTCTGACTATTGGCATTCTATGTTTCCATAGCTAGCAATATGTATTATAGCAGAAAAAGAGATAGGAAGATTTTCTACCTATGGCAACCATCTTTTTATGTACTGTTTTTGAAAAGACTGTTTTCAAACATCTGTTAAAAAGACTGATTATCAGAGAATAACCAAACTCTGACMTTGGCAGCAATTAAAAGTCAAATCAGAATGTACAGAATTGTACATTGTACAGAATTGTACCCACCTGCAGCTCTGTGGTTCTGGCCACATCTGTCTCTTTATGATGMAATTAGGAAATGCACTGTAAACCGRAGGCACACAAGGCTGAGAGGAAGATGGGTGCTGTTTGCTACAGGATAGCAGATGTGCCTGAATTCATAGTTCTCAATTTGATGTCTTGCTATGGAAATGTTTTTTTCTGATCCACAGTAACAACAAAACAAATGATGTACCACATGGCATTCTCCTTGGCTAACTACACTGATGGCTGAGTCCTCTTGTGACATTTTCACAGGACATGTTTGAACACTATGTTATATTTTTTTATTGTCTGYACAGCTTTTAGCTCAGAAATGGCTGCACAGCTTGGAGGAGAGAAACAAGTAGTCATTTCACCTGTACTCATTTAGAAAATGCCCTTGTAAGATTCAGCTTATCATTCCTGGATGTTTTTATACAGGCAACCTCTGAAGCAATGTAGAATAAATTATGTGGAAAGAAAAGATAATTTCACTTCAGAGCTCATACTCTGAACTAATGGGCATAAGTCCTTCTTCTCTTGTCTCTTTAATTCTTATTTTGAAAATTTAATTATTGTCTGGGAAATCTGACTCCCGTTAGCYACCTGCCAAGTACTGACTCACATCTGTGTACAAGATGTTCCCAGCTCTTGTGCATGTATTTTTATCTCTTTTCAAAATGTATCACATCAACCACTTTTTAAATACACAGAAAGAAGGGGAAAGGGGCCTCCCACATAACCAAAGTGTCAGGTTGTGGGAGTTCCTTTCCTCTTACTTTCTCCTGCCTGCATCTTTCCACTCTCAATGTCTTTTGATAGAACTGCTCCCTATGGTTTGGAAGCAATCATGGACTCTCAGGCACCACTAAGCCGTGTGGCAATCCCCTTTTYTGATAAGATGATGATAAATTAGTTTATAATGAATATATGGTGTCTTGATAACAAGCTGGTTGAATGGCTTCATTCCCATTCCTGAATTACCAGGTTAGAGCATTTCTCTAGTGATGGCACATTCAACKGTAGTAACAGTCATGATATCAGCCTTGCACTGATGCCACTTTGCAGCACACCCAATGGCATTTGGGCACTCCTGAAATTAATTTGGGCTCTTTCACACACGAATTGTGTGTTGTGTGTGTGTAGACACTGACAGAGAACAAGCGAGAAAGAGACAGTTGCTGGCTTTCAGTTGGTATGGGTCCTCAAAAGGCTTTACTGCCAATGAATAYTAAACATACTTAAAATCAATCACTTAGAGTGGCATTGCACTGGAATTTGGTTCACTTTCCCATCAAGAAGACACCTAGTGCTGGAGGGAGACTCCAAGGGGAAGAGAAGCACTGCAGGTTATCACTGTCTGTACAGTGCAGATGGAGCAGGTCAGTCATTGCACCCAGAACCTTCACATCCACCAYTGGATAACACTCAAGCAACCTCTCTTTAACACCAGGTTACTGCATCAGTAATTTATGCAGACTAGGAAAGAAATTCCTGCTGGAGCCTGCAAATTCTTTTCCTGCTAGTCTGTTGCTGACTTCCTGTTGGCTGTTATTGCAGAATAATACTCAAGGAAACCCGAAGTCACTCTGGCAGGACTTGCAACCTTTAATCTGGTGAGGTGCAAAAGACCCTGGAATTTTTGTAAGCTGGGAATAGTTGGAAACTTGTATTAAAAAGAGATTGGGACAGCACCCCCTATCTCCCCAGAGTGAATTGGTAGCCATCTGGTTGTTCATCAGAAATGTGAGGTGTCAATAAAGTTGTGACTGTGTTCCAAATCACTTAATGAATTGGTGCTCAATATCCCTCTTCAAAATGATACAGACCAACAGRATGAACACAAGTGCTATTGAAGAAAAGACCAAAGTCCCTTCTGGTACACTTTTAAACAGATATTATCCTGTAGGTTTGATATTTTGGGGTGGCTCAAAGGAGATTTCTTCAGAGTGATGCAGTATGGTAGCAGAGAAGTGGGGTACTCTGGTAGGTGGGTTTGGTCATCAGGAGAGGTAGAGGTCTCCCTGGCATCCTTCCTTGTACTGTGGCCAACTGGGGTTGAGGAAAAGYACAAGGACAAGACAAGCACAGAATGATGCACTCATCTGGAAGAAATGGCTGCAGTTTCCTGGCTATCGATCAGCATAGCCTAACTTTCTCGGTGAATATTCAGTTTTGAAATTCAGACTTCTTAAATGATTCAAAGGATGGAATGATGAAAGCTGAAAAGAATGGAAAAATCAGAGAAAACAAAATCTGATGCCTCTTGAAGAGCAACATGAGACTCTGGCTGTACTTTTTTCACCGATTCCATTCGGCAGATGTCAACCATATAATGGCTCCACGGCACACACCACTGTTTCAAAGCACCTTCAGATTGCTCTCATGGTGTGTTTCTACTGAGTGTGGAGTGAATCCTTTGCTATCTTCTATCCTGATCACCTTCAGCCCTAGCTATTTCTTAAGGAGAGATACAGAAAAATACTCAAAAGTCTTTCCTGCCAATGAACAAAACAAGTTCCCATTATGTAAAGAGTAGATGTATGGACTTTGYGTCTACAAAACAAAACTATTTTGTTTAGGTAGCTGTGTCTGAAAGGGGTGTATACTTGAACTGGGAAAGAAAAAAAGTTAAATGTGAAACTTTTCACAGTAAATAATGTCACAGGTACAAAGCTCCAGTGAGAGAGCTTTATGAGACTGATAAAGCTTATCAACCACGAYAATGATGCCTACAACAATGTATCATTATAATGACAGTTGTAGTATTATTTTTTGGGGGTTTTCCTAGAATCCTAAGTATGACTGACATGACCTCAGGGAACTACTCCAGGATGTCAGCAATAGTCTCATTGCCTTCTGGAACAGCTTACCATTCAAGCCTTGCAGTACTAATCCCAGTCAGCAATCCCAGTCTTATCACACTGGCCAGCCAACTTTCGGCAGCAGCTGCAGGGGCAACACGGCTGGGGCTGCTCCTGTGTGCCTGGAAGATAAAAAAAGAACACCCTATCTGACTCACTGAGTTAATATCTACCAGCTCTGCCAACACTGTGTTCAGTGTCTGGGAAGCTGATATAGTAAATTTCTGCCCATGTTGCTAATGGCAGTGATTCACTGAAGTACTTGGAAAGATGTTCAAGATCAKGTAACAGGCTTAGGATTTCTCTACCTGGCAAAAGAAATAGGGATTTAAGCTACCATAAATTCTTCCTGAAATCTTTCTTTCACACTCATTTTCTTTTCCAGTTTTAGTTGGATTTCTGTTCTCAACCTCCTTTCTTTTTCTTTCTTCCTTTCTTTCTTTGTTTTTCTGTTCCTTCCTTCCTTCCTTCCTTCCTTCCTTCCTTCCTTCCTTCCTTCCTTCCTTCCTTCCTTCCTTCCTTCCTTCCTTCCTTCCTTCCTT